ATCTATTCTCTAGGTTCATTCAGCTTCTTCAGACAAAAAGTCACCCCACAATTAAACTTCTGAAAATCCAAGAAGTTCTATGTGAAAACTCTTCCTTGAGATCATTTTTATTTGCTAGTTCAACCCTACCATCTGTAACAGTTGGCAACTCCTGGTCCTGAGCCTTCCCACAGTTTTCTAGCACCACTCACCTTCCTTGCCAATAGTGTTCCTTCTGCAGACCTTGGACTAAAGAAGCCATCTCTGCTCCATGTACGCCATCAATATCATCAACCCTCACACTGTGTCTTTCAAAAAAGTCACTGAAATTTCTTTACCAACTATTTACTCTGCCATTCTCTCTTTCCTTGTAGTCACTTCAAAAGGGCTCCAGGAGGAAGAAGTGGTAAATACACACAGCCCATCCACCAGGCCATATGTCTAACCCCTTGCACTGGTAGGATCCTCTGGGGGGGAAAGTGTAATTCTTAGTGATGTTAAAATTGTATCAGAAGCCCACTTTTCTCATCTGCATTATTAAGCAGGTGAGGCTAGTGTGGATGCAGCAAACCATTTCAATGCTACTGCAGAAATACAGCTAGACTTGGATAAGGCAGGTGGCAGAAATGGAGAGAAGCAGCTGGAATCAAGAGCTGGTTTAGAAGTGACAGTCCCTGGTGCTCGATTGGATAGTGGACAAGAGAAAGAGTGAGGGACCTGTGGGGCAGGGGGTTCTAAGATTTGTGCAACTGCATACAAATGGCACCAATCACTGAATCGGGGTAACTGGAATAAAACCAGACCTATGGGAGAAGAGCAAAAGTTTAGACATGATGATTCTGAGGCATATTTATGGACTCCAAGAGGAGATGGCACATAGGCAATGCATACGTAGGTAGAATTTGGAGGCAGAGATGATCTAAGCCAGAAATATAAATTCTAGATGGCCTGTGGGTAGTTGCATATGAGATTGGCTAGGAGAAAAGCAGAGAAAGAAGAGAAGATGGATGCCAACAATGTATTTATAGTCAGCAGTAGGAGGATTCACCTTCCTTTGGAACCACAGGAAAATGCCATCTTATAGACTTACTGTACATGGTTGAATGTGACTCCTAGAAATTCATGTGTTGGAAGCTTAATCCCCATGCAACAGCACTGGGAGATGGAGCCTACTGGAAAGTGGTTAGGTCCCCTTAACTCGTGGATTAAAGCCTTTGTAAAAAGTCCCTTCAGGGTGGGATCCCACTCTCGCACTCTCTTGCCTTTCAGAAGGCCCTTCCCATATGCCAGCACCTTTATCGTGGGCTTTAGCTTCCGAAATTGTAGGAAATAAATTTATCTTCTTTACTGAATACCTAGTCTGGGGTACAGCATTCCATTTTAGCAGCAAAACAGTCTAAGATCACCAGAAACTTCTATACAGTTCAATCTAATGGAAGGGACGGTCAGAGGGGATTAAACTCAGGAGGGCACCATGGATAGTTAAGGTCAAAAAATGTAAAGAGGTGATCATCACCGATGGTGACTAATGAGTCCTGTAAGTCAAACAGGATAGCTGAAAAACATCCAAAGAGTTTGGACATTGTTCAGTGGTTAATATGAATTATTCTGGCAGAAACATGAGACTAGAAATCATCTGAAGATGAGAAAGGTTATAAAATGGAAAAGTTATCAAAGTTAGCAAATTTTTGAAGATAAATCAAGACTACATACTTAAAGAGATTACAGTATTATCCAGCTTATTTAAAGGATTCAATAAATGCATTAAATGGTTAAATGTAGTTTGAAATCATCTGAAGATGAGAAAGGTTATAAAATGAAAAAGTTATCAAAAGTTAGCAAATTTTTGAAGATAAATCAAGATGACATAAAGAGATTACAGTAGTATCTGGCTTATTTAAAGGATTCAATAAATGCATTAAATGGTTAAATGTTTTTAATGTTACTATTAACATTACTGGTTGCTTTAAAACTCTCATGGTATTTATAATTCTCTGCACTCAGTTGGTGCTCAATAAATATTTAGGATGTGATGATAACTGTTAGTTAGGAATGAAGGCATAATAAGTCATTCCACATAATCTGCAATTAAAATTAGCTATAAATTCTTGTTGAGCCAAATGCCCTATATCCCCTTCATAAAAGTGTAAGTTAATCTAAATATGTTTATTAAATATGTTATTTAGATTCTTTATTCTCTCATGCTATGCATTAAGGAAACTTACACTTTAGAATGTTATTAGATTATGTTATGATGAAGTTACTCTCCTCAAAAAAACAAAACCTAAAAATCTAGACTAAGCCGGAAGCTAGTATAGTTTGTAACACATTATCATGAAATTTAATGAGGTAAAGTATCAGAACCTACAGCGACTGAAAGCACAGCTGATTTAAGGATTAGGACCTTCCCTGGCTTTGGTCAACGAAAGAAGGAGGTCTTCTGGAGAAACACAGAAAACATACTGACCACAGGCTTCCTGTGCCTCTAGATTATGCTTACCACAAGGGTTGACTCTCCTGTGGTGAAATTTTAGTTTGAAGGATCAAATAGCAAGCAACATGTAGGAGCATCTTAGGAAACCAAAACACGGGTCACAGTCCCTGCAGGGGCCTTCATCTACTTCCTTCCAACAAAAATCAACTTGGAGCCACGTATGGTGGTACACTTCGGAATCCTAGCACTCTGGGAGGCTGAGTAGGAGGAGCACAAGTCTGAATTCAGCCTGGATAACTTAGCAATTTAGCAAGACTCTGCTTCAAAATAATGACTTTTTAAAAGGGCTGGGAACATATCAGAAGGCACAGGTACTTGGTTAAATCCTCAGTGCTAAAAAAGAAAAATCAACCTAGGACAACTTATGCTTTTTGCTTTACCTTCAATGCCCTTTATCCATTTTCTCTATGAGGCATGCCTCCCTCAATCTGCAGCACCACCCCAAACACACACACACACACACACACACACACACACACACACACACACACCAGCCCACACCCATCAGGTTCATTATCAACATGAATTCCATTTTCAGTCCTGCAAAATAAGACTTCTGTATTTCCTCTGAGCTTCTACCAAATCTTCATTCATAATTCAATGTCAGCCCCTGATATACCTGAACTGCAGTGATCTGTTTTCCTGTCTTCCCCCACCTCAATCTCTCTGCTGGTCTATGCTCACACCAAAGCCAGATCTGGAGATACACTGTCCTTCCTTTTTCTTCTTCTTCTTCTTTTTTATTTAAGAGAAAAAAAGACACAGAAAAGAAAAACAAAAAGTAAAAGAGACAACAACAAATCCAAAACAATAACAGTGTAGGCTTTCAAAACAAGATGATTGCATACTTTTATTTAGAAAACCTGACATACAATTGATAACAAATTTCTGTTGAGCAGATAGTATTATATTTCTAACAAATATAGCCATCAGATTTAACACATCAAATTAGGAGGGGGCAATAGTCATTTCCTTTGCTACTGTAAAACATCACAACTTAGTGGCTTAAGATAATACAGTCTGATTCTCTTTAGATTAAGGTCATAAGTCTAGAGTGAGTCTTTGGGCTGCATTCCTTTTTGGAGGCTCTAGGTGAAAATCCAGCCACCCTCTGCAGATTGCCACCATTCCTTGGTTTCTGGTCCCTTCTCTCATCCTCAAGCCTAACAGCATGGCATCATCAAATTTCTCTCTGTTTTGGTCATCACATTGTCTTTTGTGTCTCTACACTGCTGCCTTGCTATTTTAAAAATTCCCGTGATTAAACTGGACTCTCCTAGACAATTCAAGACAATCTCCCTATCTTAAGATTTCTAATCACCCAAAATATAAATAACTTTATATTTGTGGAGATGGGAAGGGGATCTGGGGACGGAAGGAGAGAGCAGTGAAGGGAAGGGATATAAAAATGATTAAGATGTGGTACGCATATGTACCAATTCCCAAAGATATATTTAATTATTATTATGTATCACAAAACTATACTAATAAAAAGAGAACTGAAACTTTGAAAAAATTCTTAATCACATCTGCAAATGAAGATGTATTTGGTTTAAGAAAAAGACCATGACAGATAACAAAATATTTCATTTAAGTGATTGTTAACTTGAAAGATAGGACTTAGGCTTAAAAGTAGAAGTTTAGGGGCTGGGGATTTAGCTCAGTGGCATAAGCACCTGCCTTACAAAGCAGGCGGTCGTGAGTTCAATCCCTGGTACCGATAAAAATGAAAAAGACAAAAAAAAAAAAAAAAAAAAAAAAAGTAGAAGCTTAAATTACCTAGAAATTTTACTTATATGGAAAAATCACATTGTCTTGTGCCAAATGACACTCTATTGATGAAAAAAATTTATTTCTTCCAAATAAACATTAACCCTAAAAGCAGTTATCTTTGGAATACAAAGATGAAATATTTCTTGATGCTTGAGTGCATTTCCCTTTAGCAAAATATTTTAAAGACAGTATATAAACACACCAATGTCAGTTTGATTACTCTGTTAACAGCACTTCATTTTTTTTAACCTGGAAGAGCAATAAGATGAATTTACTTAGATAAGCAATCATGTGACTTGTTTCTATGCGACTTCTACCAATTAACAAAACAATCAAGTATTATCTGCCCTAATAATAATCAAAAGAGTGAGCTACAAGATCTTAAAATGTAGTTTTAAAAGAAAAGCACCAAAGAGTGAAAAAGTAACTGAAATAAGGGCTCAGCTTCCCCAGACAACCTCTTCTCTCTTGGAACACAACCATCTTCTTTGGATATGTAAGTTATAAGATGCTGTTTCATATGACTCTGGCTCTGATCGGTTGATCATTCTTGTATGTGTTAACCATCAAACATCATTTACACTTAGAGAAATTTAAATGCAAGCAAGTTAAATTGGGTATGTCTACTAATATTCCTGCCTACTGGTTCCATGAATTATAAAGCTCTCATCTGTATTAATGCTGACATTATAAGCCTAATACTTTTGTATAGCAAACCTAAAAGTTGTGTATTTCTTCCTCAATCTTTCCACAGGTGCTGAGGACTTAATTTCATAGGTTTCAAGTTCTCACCCTGCAGATTTGGAAACCACATTATCTACTGTGACAAAGGGATGTATTTCAAAATCATATAAAAAGAGTTTCACAAACACACATCCTACATGGGCTGTCCAGAATTGCTACACAAATCTTCTCTTCCAGCTGTATATATTTCAAGTTATTGGTAAAAGATCCCCATTAGGAACTTCATAGGTAAAACTGAGCTCTATCAACTTGTCTGTGAAATATGGCACTCTCTTGGTGGTCACTGAAGCCCCATTCGTAACCATGACATCACTGTTCCCATAGAACAACTATATTTTCAAAGAGGGAGAAACTAGATGGGATTCTTAGAGAAGATAAAACACAAACAAGTGAACTGGAATAAGGAAGCTGTCAGTGAATACTTTTTTGGAGGATGCTTAGTTTCTTGGAAGAAAAACAGTGTAGATTCTTGAAATTATAAATAATTGATAATAATTATAAAATATAAAATATTGATAAATAACTGCAACTAGAAAATAAAGCTGCTAAATTTTTTTCTGTAATGTAACACACTCTACCTTGCATGAGCCAGATTTAATACATTTATTTAAGCTTCTTAAAATAAAACCTACAACTTGACAACATACACAGTTATGCTTCAATACTTCTAAAACATTTAATCTCCTCACAGCTTTTTACTTTCTGTATTTATATTCTGTGAACTTAACATAATAGAAAATATATTTTAATGAGTTTTCTTCAGTTCAAGCAAGTAAAATAACCTTATATACAGCTATATCCCACAAGAAAAAATAAAAACCAAGTCATAATCATGTAAGTACAGAATAATGGAACTACATAAAAATTTCACATAAAGAATGGTAAAGTTAAACTGTTGCTCTATATAAAATTTGAATAAAATGTTTTCAAAAGTAATCACAAAAATGAAAAATTCATGAGAAAGAAAGTCACACTCTAGATTATTTATTCAAACATAAGAGGCTCTGTATTGTTGGAAATAGACCTCTGTGCTTTTAGAGAGAAACTACCACATATTTTACAGTATTTACAATTAATAGTATGATTTACAACTCTAGAAATATCTTAGGAATGCCTTTATGGACATGGGATAGTCATCAAAAAAATGGAAATGTTGCTCAAATCAGTCACCCAAAAGCAATACAACTCAGAAAAGATCAGAGTGCAGCTGGGGTGTGATTGTGGAGAGAACATTCATGTACAAACATACAGTTCCTCATCCCCAGTGATGGGAACCACCCCCAGACAACCTCATCAGAGATCTCCTTTTCTAGTCAGCATCTAGATTAAGTGAGTTGTTTAAAAAGAAAATGTCTGCTCTGAAACTTGGAAGAAAAAAAGAAAGATCTATGACAGTCAAGATGCCACAGGACAGGACAAGGAAGCTGAGCCATACCATGAAGTTCACAGGCTGATTGGAAAGTGTTCAATATTAGGCAAAGTTTTCATGTTTACATACAAAATTGACCATCACAGATTGTAAGGGACCATCCAGGTATTATCACATGTACATCGTGAATCTCCGTAACAGCCCCAATCAACCCCAAGATTCCTTTATTAGTGACTTTATATCAAATCCACTAAAAATTTAAGCCCAGTGTTTAATGATTACAAATCCTAAAATGATTCACTGACTTATCTCTGTGGCAGACTAGTTTGTAGGCCCCTCATTCTCCCTGAGAACTCACATGGAAGAAAGGAGCAATGTAAGGAAAGAAAGATGGCAGGGAATGATAGTCAGCTGTCAGAACACTGCCCAACACTACAGCACTAGTGACAGATGATTTCTACTGTAGGCCTGTAGGGTCTGTCCACAGGGAGATACAAACACCTGGACCTGGGATTTGGGCCAGAGGCGATGAGACCACAAAAGATCACTTCAGTGGCAACTGGGACTGAAGGAAGCAGTGGATTCCACAGAAGAAAAAGATCAGATGGGTGGGTGGCACTGCACGTTTGCCCTCTACCCAGATAGACTGTTCTCATGTCACCTCTCCCTCAAGCACCACCACTTACACCCAACTCTCATTTTTAGTGTGATACACAGGGTAAAAGGACAATGCTGATAACCACAATACACAAAATCTTAGTAAGACAAGGTTTCTGTTCTTACTGGGCTCACAGATCTTCCACTGCTATAAACTCTATGTGATAAAGTGGAAGACTAGGAGCTCGCCAGGCAAAAAAGGAAGGAGAGAAATGTGAAGACGAGGGGAAAGTAGGCAGCAGGAACAAGCAGAGAATGCTTGCACAGAGTGCAAGCAAATAGATATGCACAGAGTGTTAAGCAAATGCCAGGGAAAAACCACACGTGGGTGTGGTTTGAAATAAGGCTCAAATATTAGCCAGGGAACATTCCATGGCCAATTTTTTAAATAATCAAAACAAGTTAATAATTTCGATATACTTCAATATGGGAGTTCCCCAAAGGAGGAAATGTTTTCACTGAAATTTGAAGGAAAAAGAGAGATGTCTCTGAAAATAAAGAAAATCTAAAGAGTTGAAGGCCAAGTCCAGCAACCACGAGCTATATTCATGGCAATCTGCAACATTAAAGTGAAGCTATATGCCACACACACAGTACACAGCCATCTCCCATCCACCCACTACCACCACACATGAGGCTGCCTTTGACAGTCCTTATACACATGCCAGATTTGACCCTGGCTCTCTGACTCCACAGAAGCTGTCTCCAGAAGCACTCAGAAAAATGACATGGACGTAAACAGGGAAGTCCACTGGCTTCTACTATTCTCACAATGTGCCTACTCCCTAGCCTTAGTCAGAATCTGACTAAATATTATTTCCCTCCAACTAGAAGTTTGTGCTGCACTTAAGTGGAAAGCCTCAATGTGATTGGTTGTGTAAGAAGCTAAATCTATACCATTTTGGATACCCATATGCCCTTTCTGTGCTTTTATTTTCCCTCCAGTGTGGTTTTTTCACCTCTGAGTTCTTAGAACTTGGACTAACTCTTGAAATAGGGCTAAACAAAAGCTAGTTTCACCTCGAAATACTTAGAGCTGAACAAGAACCCTGTAAGTGCTTGAAGGACTTGAGTTCACCACATGCACAAGCAGCTCAAGGTAGATGGTTCTAGGTGATAGGGTTTAAAAAAAAAAAAAAACCCAAAGTCCTTGGCATTCCAAGACTCATCTTCAAGGGAAATGATTTTTACATTAACCACTCTGCTCTAAGAGAGAGGAGACCATGTTAACACTTTCACAAGGAGTTTTCCTCACTTTCACAAGGAGTATGTGAACATCCCATGCCACCTGCTGGGACAGTCGTACACGTACCACAGTGGTTTAGGCTGGCATGAATTCATGTAAGAAGTCACACATTTGTGTGTGCATGTGCACAATTGTGAGTGTGTCTATGAGAGAAGGAATATTGTGTGTATCTGAGTCTGTATGTGTATATCTAACAGAGAAAGACAAAGAGCAAACAAGGTGAGGAAAGGAGAGGAAACGTGGACAAGGAAAGTGAATGATACTGGTATTCAAGGACAGCCAGTTTACACAGATAGGCCAGAAAGAAAACAATGTCCACAGTGGGTGTGGACTTTGGCCAACAACCGAAAATCCCAAGAACTCCTTAGGATACAAAATCAACACAAGAAATCATTAGTACTCCCTTATACCAAGAATGAGCCCACAGACAAATAAATTAGGAAAAAAATTCCATTCACAATAGCTTAAAAGAACAAATATCTAGAGATCAACCTAACTAAGGAAGTGAAAGGTATCTGTAATGAAAATTATAGTACTTTGAAAAAAGAAATTGAATGGAACATTAGAAAAAGGAAACACAAATCTTATTCTTGGGTCTACCAAATTAGTAGTTTAAAATATCCATAAAATCAAAAGCAATCTATAAGTGCAATCTTCTTGGTTTTTTTTTGGGGGGGGGTTGTCTTTTGTTTTTTTTTTTAAATTTTTTTTGGTACCAAGAATCAAACTCATAGCCTTGCACTTGCCAGGTAAGTGCTTGTACTGCTGAGCTAAATCCCCAGACCTTTTTTGCCTTTTTGAGACAGGGTTTCACTATGCAGTTTAGGCTGACCTTGAACTCACTTTTGTAGCCCATGCTGGCCTCAAACTCATAGTGATGCCCCTGCCTAAGTGCTCCTAAGTGCTGGAATTACAGGCATGTGCGACCATGTCCAGCATTACTTTTTAAAATACCAACATTGTTCACAAAACTAAAAAAACACAATCCTAAAATTTAGATGGAACCATGAGAGACCCAAAATAGCCAAAGCAATCCTGAGCAAAACAAGCAAAGCTGGAGACATTCCAATATAGGATCAAATTTCAAATTATACTACAAAGTTACAGTAAGAAAAACAATAGTACTAGCACAAAAACAGACATGTAGGCCAGCAGAATATAACAGAAGACATAGACAAGCCAGACATCTGATTGTTTACAAAGGAGCCAAAAGCATTCACTAGAGAAAAGATAGCCCCTTTAACACATTGTGCTGGGAAAACTGTTTACTCACATGCAGAAGACTGAAACTAGTCTATCAATCTTGCCTTATACTAAAATCAAACCAAAACAGATCAAATATATAGATATAAAAACAGAAAACTTTCAACTGCTGGGCCATAACACAGGGGAAACTTGAAATCATAGGCACAAAGACTTCTCGAACAGAACTTCAATAACTCAAGTAGTATCAAGAATCAACAAATGGGACCACCTCAAATTAAAACCCTTCTGCACATCAAAGGAACCAATCAACAGACTGAAGAGACCATCTATGGAATGGGAGAAAATTTCTTACAGCTACTCTTCTGACAAAGGAGTAAAATCCACAATATACAAAGAACCTGAACAACAAAAAAAAGACCCAATCAAAAAAATGGGCAAATGAATTAAATAGACACTTCTCAACAGAAGAAGTAAAAATGAAAAAATTATTCAGTATTTTTAAGCCATTATTGAAATGCAAATGAAACAACTCTGCGGTTCCATGTCATCGCAGTCAGAATAGCTATCATCAAGAATGCAAAAAGCAACAAATTCTCTTGAAGATATAGGGAGAAAGAACCTTTCAACATTGGTGATGGGAGTATAGTACAACCACTACGGAAATCAGTATGGAGACTCCTCAAAAATCTAAAAATAGAATTCCATTTGGCGAACTGTGGGAGTAATAAAACCCAAAATGTTTAAATGTTATTGTAAAAAAGAGAGAAAAAGAAAGTACTCTAAAGGACACAACTGCAAGTGTGTTTAGGGGTGTAAGATAGATGACCATATTACTAAGTTTTTGTTGGACAATTGAACACAATTGTTTGCAGTTTCA